GATTTTTAAAACACAATCAAACCGGACAACCAGGCCGAGTAAATCACAGGTTAACTCGGTCAAAACTCGATTTTGATCTAGTCAAGTACATTTCTATAAAATTAGTATGCCCGACCCTATCAAGGGTCCGAGCTACTGCCGGTCGGACCGATTTTTATGACTATGATTAGGATGCATTAAACTGGACCATCTATTAAATTTAAGTTTGAAGCACGACCAAGCAAATAATTTAATTCCACATGACCACCATATGGATTCCCTAACGGGATAATTGACTCTTAGACCCCTGTTGGATTGCACTTCAATTTCATGGAAGATGGAAATTTTATTTTATTTTTCACAATTTTGCATGTTTGATTGCCAAAATATTCTTTGAAATTGGTTTTCCATTTTTCACCCACATGCTCATATTTTCTTGGTTTTTGAGAGAAAACTTAGGTGGAAAAAGCTTTTCTAGGCAACTTTTTTTTTTATTTTTAAATTTTTTTTGGTAATGGAAACAAATTTTATCCCCAATTGTAATAAATTCTATCACTTTAATGGACAATTTTCATGAAAAACAAAGTCAAACGAATACCAAAAGATCTAAAATTTCAATATTTTTCAGGTGGAAAATTATACCAATCAAACACAATTAATTGACAATTCTCAATAAAACAAGTTCTAAACAATTCAATTCCCAGAAATTCATTTTCTTCTCACCCTAATTTCATTACTGCAATCAAACAAACATTTAATTCTGAGCTTAAGTGATATCAATTGTCATGATCAAATATCTCAATATTTTAGAAATCCTAAAAAATCAAAGTGCGGACATTTAATCACATTAAAACATTTTCAAAAGACTCTCTAAATATAAAATACATCTTATTTTAGATAATTTGTTGGAATATATAAAAATTTCGAATCTCTAAATACAAAATACATCTTATTAAATATCTGAGGGGGCTATAGATAAGCACGATGGGTACGAGGATGCGATTATGAAATAAACTTTTATAATTTATATATATAATTCAAGAGTGCTTTCTCACTTTTAGCAGAATGAAAAGAAACTAATGATTTGGGCTGACAATTTAGTGCAATGTCAATTATCGGAGTTTCAATATCCAGTTCCTGTAGTTTCTACTTGCTTCATAATAGATTTGTACTTAATTGTATAATTAGAGAAATTTCAAGGACGAACATGAGCAAAAAGTCGAAAAATGTCAAATCCTAAACCTAGGAGGACAAAGAGGAAGCCTAGGGCAGGTGGCGTCACCTAGAGAATTAAGTTGTGGTACCACGTGACGCCATTTCTCCTTGCGAAGAAAGGAAAATCGTGCGGTAACAATCTATTTCCCCAAATTATTGCTGATATGAATCGTCAAGAGGTTAGGTATGACTGGAATTCTTGACACATGAACATGTAATGAAAACGAGCTAGAAAGAGAGGTCTTCCTCATAGATCTTGACTTTTCCTTAGATATCTAATTCTTAGTTTAGGACTTTAGACATGCCATTTTTGATTTAGAGCCTATATGCTAGTGTAGTAAGATTTTCGAAGAATATCAAAATAGATTTAAAGGTAGAAACACTAGGACTTGTTTGATAGACCCTTATTTTTCTTAGAAGTTGGACTTGAAATTATGTTTCATATTTTTACCATGTTTGATGACACTTTTTTTCCTGGAATTGGTTTTCCACATTTGCTAGTTTTCTTGGTTTTAGTTGAATTGAAATTCCCACATTTTAGGTGGGAATTGAAATTCCATCTTTTTTTTTAGCTCTCATTTTTTTTTTTTTTTTGGCAATAGAAACAAATTCTATCCTCAATTGTAAAAAAAAAGAAAATTATTCATTTAATTGACAATTTCCATGTAAAATAAAACCAAACGAACGTAAAAAAATTTCCAATTTTTTTTTTTTTTTGGCAATTATATCCCCAATTGTAAGAAATTATATCCCTTTAATTGACAATTTTCATAAAAAAAAGTCAAACAAACACCAAAAGATAGAAAATTTCAACATTTTTCAGGTGGAAAATTATACAAATCAAACACAATTAATTGACAATTTTCAGTAAAACAAATTCTAGGAAATTCATTTCCTTTCCACCCAAATTTCATCTTTGAATCAAACGGAACTATTCAAGATTGTGAAGCAAGAACTAAACTCTAGCCCATGTTTGGCTCATGTTTGTAAATAGTTTATTTATTAAATCATTTTTTATTCATACATTTTTGAACGATTTACAAGTACTATTCATTTATTTATTATTTATTTATATCTATTTATAATTTAATCCATTTCGTAAACACTTTCCAAACATGGGCTCATGTTTATAAACACTTGTACGTTTGGAGGGATTCACAAGTAGTAATGTATTAGTCACTCATTCGTCACTTATTTCTATTTATTTATAACAGTTTATAAAATCACTACGAACTTGCATTAAATCGAAAACCAATAAAAACCAGGAACCATGAATTCCAAATGTGAAGTTCGATTTCATAAAAGAAGTTCTTCCTCGTTATCCTAAATTCTATCTTTCAAGCAAAAGTCTTATTTCAAACAAATCAAAGCCCAATCAGGTTTCACATTCTTTCAAATTTCAGATAGCAAAACCAAGATTATTAACAAAAGACAACTATATAAGCAGGAATTCTTTATTTATTTTTATTTTTTTCAATGTGGTTGCCGGATGGTTCATTGCACCACCCTCAAATTTAAAAAATAAAAGTTTGAATCATTTTTTTAAAATACTAGAATCGAAAACCCTACTAAACCGAATATTACAAAAATATTTGCACATATTTAGGGCGTGTTCGGTCGTGTTTAAAATTCAATTAATATTGAAAATATAGCCGTTATTGGATCTCACTCGTCTAATAAAAGTCAACAAAAGTAATTATTCTGCAACTTTCTACATGTAACTTTTTTTAAGCTTAGCCAAGAGGAAAAACCACATATCGTGTTTAGTTTCTAAATTTGGGAGAGTGAAAAGTTGAACCGAAAAAAAAGAGAGATTTTTTTTTTAAATCTAAGCGCCTGTTTGGTTCAATTAAAAAATTAGATTAAAATCTAACTCAAAATCAATAATTAATTTTAACTGAAAATTTACGAGATTCATAACTTTTCATTCACATATTCTATCAGCTTTTATTAAAGTCTATTAAAAATCCGATTTTTATCATAACCAAACATGATAACCAAACATGATTAAAAGTTGGTCTTATTTGAAACCAGTGGGAAAGGAGGACATAGAAGAGAATCATGCACAGTGCTAATAATACCCAACAAGAAAAAGTTAAAGAACCATAGACTGAGAGCAGTTTCTTTTTGTATCTCCTGAAAATCCGGTTGCATAATTTTTTGTCGGTTAGTTTAATTTGATTAATTAATCTCACTTTAATTGCATAAATTAGCCTCTTAATAATGATATTTTTGGCAATGATTTGCACTATAAAGTGTCACACAAGGTGATTTTTATGTAGCTTAATTAATTAATTACCATTAGTATATAGTATTGGTGAAACCATGTTTATAAATGTATTGGTCACAATTTGCAAGAATTTTAAATAAATTTATTCAATTTTAACCATTAATTCTTTTGAAGGAATAATTAATATGATGTTCGAGTAGGGTAACGTAATAAATCTAGGACTCGCCGTCGCTTATGAAAATTGTGAATTTGTCAAACATTTGATAAGATAAATCTTGTTTGCGTGCGAGATAGTAATGCAATATACGATGTTATAATATAGTTCGCCGTCGCTTATGAAAATTGTGAATTTGTCAAACATTTGGTAAGATAAATCTTGTTTGCGTGCGAGGTAGTAATGCAATATACGATGTTACAATATAGTTCGCCGTCGCTTATGAAAATTGTGAATTTGTCAAACATTTGGTAAGATAAATCTTGTTTGCATGCGAGGTAGTAATTGCAAGACACGATGTTACGATATAATCAGTTATTTATTTATTTATTTTGAAGTGATCATTTATTGAAGTGTCACTCTCTTATGTTAAGACGATTCAAATGAACAAATATTCAAACGAACAACCTTTCCAAAGGAAACCTCAAGCAAAACCTAATAATGTGTGAAATGTTGAAATTTTTACCTCCAAATATAAACCTAACATTATTTTTTTTAATTATTATTTCTTATCTGAATTTTATTTTTCTTTTGTATTAGCT